CCTCTCAAAGTACTGGGATTACAGATATAAGCCACTGTGCCCAACACTCCAACTTTTGTGAGTGAAAAATAAACATAACTGCTTTAAGTCACTGTTTTTTTTTTATTGGATTTTGTTTTTTTGAGACAGAGTCTCACTCTGTTGCCTAAGCTGGAGTGCAATTTGTTATCTCGGCCCACTACAACCTCCATCTCCTGGGTTCAAGCAATTCTCCTGCCTCGACCTCCAGAGTGGCTGGGATTACAGGCATGCACCACCACGTCCGGCTAATTTTTCTATTTTTAATAGAGACAGGGTTTCACCATATTGGCCAGGCTGGTCAAAGTCAGTGTTTTTTAAACATTTCTGTAGGGAACCAATGAAACATGTCATTCTGTAACTTTTCTTCTTTTACTTATTCATACCTCCACATTAATATGTATTTAATAATTTTTGCTGTTTGATAGTATGTTGGATTAAAAATGGCCACAATGGAAAACAGTCTGGCAATTCTTCAAAAAGTTAAACATAGAATTCCCATGTGATTCAGCAATTCCACTCCTAGGTATATTCCCCAAAGAAAATAGCCTGAAAGTGAAAACAACCCAGATGTCCATCAAATGATAAATGGATTGTAAAAATGAGATATACTCATATATGCAAGGGTGTCCAATCTTTTGGCTTCCCTAGTCTGCAGTGGAACAAAAGTTGTCTTGGGCCACATATAAAATACACTAACAATAACTTACGGGTTTTTAGAAGTTGCAAAAAAAAACTCATAATGTTTTAGGAAAGTTTACAAATTTTTGTCGGGTGGCATTCAAAGCCATCCTGGGTCATAGGTTGGACGAGCATGATATAATGGAATAAATAAACTCAGGCAATAAAAAGGAATGGCGGATGTGGTGGCACACACCTGTTATCCTAGCACTTTGAGAGGCTGAGGCGGGTGGATCACGAGGTCAGAAGTTCAAGACCAGCCTGGCCAACATGGTGAAACCCCCATCTCTTTAAAAAAAAAATTTATATAAAAAAATTAAAAGGAATGAAGTCACAACATGGATGCACCTCGCAAACACTATACTGAATGAAAGAAGCCAGTCTAAAAGGTCATCTATTGCATGAGTCCATTCCCATGAGATCTCTAAAATAGGCAAATCCACAAAGACAGAAAGCAAATGAGTGGTTAATGGAGGCTAGGGGTTGACAGGAATCAGATGAGTAATGAGTACTGGTTTACTTTTGGAGGGATGAAAATATTCTGGAACTAGAGAGTGATGATGCTTATACAACACTGTGAATGCACCAAATGCCACTGAATTGTACACTTGAGAATGGTAAATTTGGAGTCATGTGAATTTTACCCTTCTCCCTTCCCCCAGTGGCCACAGATTCCTTGCAATTCCTTACATCAAGAGAATCTGGGATCTGGGCCAAGCGCGGTGGCTCATGCCTGAAATCCCAGCGCTTTGGAAGGCCATGGCAGGCAAATCACTTGAGTTAGGACTTCAAGACCAACCTGGCCAACATGGTGAAACACTGTCTTTACTAAAAATACAAAAAAAAAAAAAAAAAAAAAAATGGATTCTCCCGGTCTCTCTACTAAAAAAACAAAAATTAGCCGGGTGTGATGGTGGGTGCCTGTAATCCCAGGCAGAAGAATTGCTTGAACCTGGAAGGCAGAGGTTGTAGTTAGCCGAGATCACGCCACTGCACTCCAGCCTGGGTGACAGAGAGACTCTGTCTCGAAAAAAAAAAGAGTCTCAGGTCTGGGATCTGTGCTGGCGTTATGTCAGGCTTTGACCAATTAAATACGGCAGAAGCAACGTCGTGTGACTTCTGCACAAGCTCTCCAGCGGTCTTGCAGCTTTTGCTGTCACCCTAATGGATTGCTGAGACTGTCATGGTGTAAAGAAAAACCACATGGAGAGAGTGAACCAGCGACCTCAGCCATCCCCACGAGCTCCTTCCCTTTTTGGGAGGCCACACCAGATACGGCTGAGCAGCTTATCTGACTGCAGCCACCTGAGAGAGCCCAGGGGACAGCACAGAGGTCAAGCCCCATCAAGCCACAGAATTGTGAGAAATAACAAATTGTTGTCTTCGGCCACTTAGTTTTAGGTGGCTTGTTACACAACAACAGACAACTAACACAAATAGTATGTCACTGTGCACATTTACTGTAGTTTGCTTAACCAGTCTCCTTCTGAGAGGCTTTTAGGTTGTGTCCAGGTTCTTAACTTTTCTTTTCTTTTCTTTGTTTTTTTTTTTTTTTTTTTTTGAGACAGAGTTTCACTCTTGTCTCCCAGGCTGGAGTGCAATGGCAGGATCTCAGCTCACTGCAAACTCTGCCTCCCGGGTTCGGGCGATCCTCCTGCCTCAGCCTGCCAAGTAGCTGGGATTACAGGCACCTGCCACCATGTCCAGCTAATTTTTGTATTTTTAGTAGAGATGGGTTTTCACCATGTTGGGGTGGTCTCCAACGCCTGACCTCAGGTGATCCGCCCACCTGGGCTTCCCAAAGTGCTGGGATTACAGGCGTGAGCCACTGCGCCCAGTCAGGTTTTAAACTTTTCTAAGCAATTTTTGTTCTGGATATTACTACAGAAAAAACTCTGTGCACTTAAGTGATTTTTTCCTAATACTTCAACAGCACACACTTGGATTTGATGGAAGCTCTGGAAATAAAAAATCAAAAAGTATTCTCAACTCATTCCAGAAGCAAAATTAATTGTGGTGATTTCAGGCAATTTCTGGTGGAGAAAACAAGGCCTTGCTAACAAGAGTTTACGTAAAATTGGTCCTGGGATGATCCCCATGAATTTTACTCCCACCTTTCTGGGTTGGCCAGCCTCTCGTTGTTCTGTATTGCTCCCCATTTTATGTTGCTTTGTTTTGTTTTGTATTGCTTTGAATTGCTTCCCTCTGGGTGGATGGGATCCCCGGAGGTGTACATAATTTGACTTTAAAAACTATGAAAACAGGGCCGGGTGCAGTGGCTCAAGCCTGTAATCCCAGCACTTTGGGAGGCCGAGGAGGGTGGATCGCAAGGTCAAGAGATCGAGACCATCCTGGTCAACATGGTGAAACCCCGTCTCTACTAAGAATACAAAAAAAAAAAAAAAAAAAATTAGCTGGGCATGGTGGCGTGTGCCTGTAATCCCAGCTACTCAGGAGGCTGAGGCAGGAGAATTGCCTGAGCCCAGGAGGCGGAGGTTGCGGTGAGCCGAGATCGCGCCATTGCACTCCAGCCTGGGTAACAAGAGCAAAACTCCGTCTCAAAAAATAAAAATAAAAACTATGAAAACATACCTCTGCCAAGACCTGCGCCACTGACGTTGATGCTCTGAGCCTCCCCAGACTCTTCACAGAGTTTGTTTCCTGGATTAAACCTGTGAATGAGCGTATCGATCAATAAAACTGAAGTCACACATATAGAGCAACAGAGACTTTGATGGAGATAGACATGCATGTGTGTGAGATTATCAAAAGATCTAGGGCAGCTGTGAGTGACAGGTACCCCTCATTAAGGTGACTGAATTATGACTATTCCACTAATAAATACAGGGAAGTTGGCAGAAGTTGATGGGAGAGTGAAGAAGGTTTTAAGTGTGAAAAGAACCTCACTAGAAAAATCCAACAGATAGTTGGAAATGTCGTTGGGACTTCTTGTTGTTGTTTGTTGTTTTTGTTTTTGTTTTTTTTGAGACAGAGTCTGGCTCTGTGGCCCAGGCTGGAATGCAGTGGTACTATCTCCACTCACTGTACCTGCAACTCCCAGGCTCAGGTGATCCTCCCAAGTAGCTGCGACTAACAGGCATGCACCACCATACTCAGCTAATTTTTTTTTGTAGAGATGGTGTTTTTCCATGTTGCCCAAGCTAGTTTCGAACTCCTAAGCTCAAGCAATCCACCTGCCTCAGTCTCCCAAACTGCTAGGACTACAGGCATCAGGCCCTGCGCCTGGCCTGTGGCTGGGAATTCTTATAGCTTGAGTCACAGATTTGCAGATCATTGATGAAGAGATGGCAGGTGAAGTACAGAGAATTCATGATAAGAAAATAAGAATGGGGGAAGAACTCGGAATCCACCATGTTTTGGAGGGAGAAGGAGAAGAGGAGCCCAGACAAACAGACTGTCACAACAGCTAAAAAGAACCAGCTTTGTCATTTGTGGCACCCTGTGCAAAATGAAAAGGCAGGGCCCTTTGTTCAACGATTATTAAGAATATTGGCTGGGCCTGGTGGCTCGTGCCTGTAATCCCAGCACTTTGGGATGCCAACGTGGGCAGATCACCCGAGATCAGGAGTTGGAGACTGGCCTGGCCAATGTGGTGAAACCCTGTTTCTGCCAAAAATACAAAAAAATTAGCTGGGTGTGGTGGCGGGTGCCTGTAATCCCAGCTACTCAGGAGGCTGAGGCAGGAGAATCTCTTGAACCCGGGAGGCAAAGGTTGCAGTGAGCCAAGATTGCACCATTGCACTCCAGCTTGGGCATCAAGAGCGAAACTACATTAGAAAGGGAAGGAGAGAGGGAGGGAGGAAGGAAATTAGGATATTAGGCTGGGCACGGTGGCTCATGCCTGTAATCCCAGTACTTTGAGAGGCTGAGGTGGGTGGATCACTTGAGGTCAGGAGTTCGAGACCAGCCTGGCTAACACGGTGAACCCCACCCTCTGCCATCTCTACTAAAAATACAAAAATTAGCTGGGCGTGGTGGCATCCGCCTGTAATCCTAGCTACTCGGGAGGCTGAGGCAGGAGAATCACTTGAACCTTGGAGGCAGATGTGGTAGCGGTGAGTGGAGATCATGACACTGCACTCCAGCCTGGGTGACAGAGTGAGACTCGGTCTCAAAAAAAAAAAAAAAGATAATATTAATGGCCAGTGCAGTGGCTCACACATGTGACCCCAGTGTTTTGGGAGGCCAAGGTGGGAGGCTTTCTTGAGGCTGGGAATTCAAGGCTGCAGTGAGTATGATGGTGCCGCTGCACCCTCTGTCTCTAAAATAAAAATTCTTTTGTGCTCACTTTGGCAGCATATATACTAAGATTAAAGCAAGACAGAGAAGATTAGCATGGCCCCTGCTCAAGGATGACACACAAATTCATGAAGCGTTTCATATTTTTAAAAATATATATATTAAACACTTTTCAGGCTGGGCGCAGGGGCTCACACCTGTAACCCCAGCACGTTGGGAGGCCAAAGCAGGTGGATCACCTGAGGTCAGGAGTTCGAGACTAGCCTGGCCAACATGGTGACACCCTATGTCTACTAAAAATACAAAAAATTAGCTAGGCCTGGTGGTGCACTCCGAAGTAGTTTCAGCTACTTCGGAGACTGAGACAGGAGAATCACTGAACCCAGGAGGCAGAGATTGCAGTGAGCAGAGATCAGGCCATGCACGCCAACCTAGGCTACAAGAGCGAAACCTCATGTAAAAAAATAAAATAAAATAAATAAATTATTTTAATTTTATTTTATTTTAAATTATGATAATAAGTATTTTTAATTATGATAAAAATAAAATAATATACATAGTAAGTGTATATATTTATGGGTACATGTAAGGTATGGATACAGATATACAATGTGTAATAATCGCATTGTTTATGATTGTGATGAGATATTCATCGCCTCATGGATTGATCATTTCTTTGTGTTACGAACATTCTAATTCTACCCTTTTAGTTATTTGAAAATTATTATTGCTATGGTCACCCTGTTTTGCTCTCAAGTCCTAGTTCTTTATTCATCCTATTAAGAAAAAGTCTTATTTGCTGTCTGATGCCTAACAAAAAAAATAAGTAAATAAATATATAAAATAATTGTAAGATAGGAAGAATAGAATACTAAACCACACGTGGGGAGCTTAGGGCTCTGCGCAATTAACTATATGGGTTGCACACCTAGGAATCTTGCCCTGAAGCTAAGAAGTTAGAGAATTTTTAAAGAGGGGATGTCATGGAGAGTGAAATTGAAGAACGGGGTGTTGAATTTGATGATCTGAGGTTACAGTGACTTTCAAGAGAGCAGGGTGGGGGACAAAAATCAGGTCATGAGGGGGTTAAGGGTTGATTGCTTGGAGGATGAAGTACAGACAGTGAAAAGTTGAGGATTTGAAGAGAGTTGGTCCAGTAGTTCAGAGAGCAATTGGGTTGACGAACAGCTATTTTCAAATAGCATCGACACAATCATATTTACTGGCTTGGATAGTGAGCGGGAAAGACTGAAGATGCAAGCGAGAGGAATAAGTGAGGACACAAGGTTTGGAAGTGGCAAACATGCTGTGATTAACAATAGCAATGGAGAGATGAAAAACTTTGCAAAGTCAGTCTCTGAGCCACCCTGGAGTAATGAAAGAGAGAGGGCCACAAAGACATTGAAACATCAAGAGAAAAAGCAGGATGTCAAACATAGCTCCAAGTGGGCCTAATGTATCATCAGGGAGCGTTTCAGGGTTTCAAAGATGTATGTACTTTTTCTTTATTATACGTAACAGGACCAACACCAGACATGAAAACTGATTAATCTGTGAAATTAGCACGCCATGATTTTTGTAGGATATCACCTGTAGGAGGCATTCTTGCTGTAGTTTGAAGTGATGGGGATTTAGTTAGAATTAACTGTCCATCACATGTTCTCTGATGAGGTGAATTACATCCTAGCCCTAGCTCATCTTTCTTCTTTCTTTCTTTCTTTTTTCTTGAGACAGAGTCTTGCTCTGTCGTCCAGGCTGGAGTGCAGTGGCGTGATTTCAGCTCACTGCAACCTCTGCCTCCTGGGTTCAAGGGCTTCTCCTGCCTTAGCCTCCTGAGTAGCTGGGATTACAGGCACGCACCATCATACCCAGCTAATTTTTGTATTTTTAGTAGAGACGGGATTTCCCCATGTTGATCAGGATGGTCTCCAACTCCTGACCTTGTGATCCGCCCGCCTCTTCCTCTCCAAATGCTGGGATTATAGACATGAGCCACTGTGCTGAGCCACCTAGCTCATCTTGTAGAGAAATATGACTGCTGGCAGAAATGAGTCTTCCAGTGTCTTATCCCCATTTTAGTTCCATGTGTATTCTTCTGTACTTAATTAATTCTATTACAATGTGAAACATTTCAGGTATTTTTCCCCTGAATTTATTCTATTGAAACCACTCACAATTGTTTTCAGTTTTGGAGGGAAAAAATTCCCTTGAGGATTTCTGAATTGTAAGTTATGAGAAGTAAAAGAAACACTTGTGTAATAATTTAAAGCACATTTAACAATTTCCCTTTAGTTTGTTCGAGAATGCAAAAACATTTGATGTTTTAAACATACAGGATCGTAAGTGAGCTCAAAGGATGGACTGCTGTTGAGTTAAGCATGAAAGGACTTTCGAATTGTCAGTTATTAACTTCTAATTTGTGTGAAAGAAACTTCTAGAACTTTCCCTTTCTGTAACTAGTAATTAAGCCATTATTCTAACAGGAGCAATTAAGGGGTGAGTATTTAATAAAAATAAAGATAATGGAAAGGACTCTACACCCCAAGACACATCAAGACAAGGACCGACAGCTGCAGCAACAACAAAAGGAACTCGATTTGAATTCACAAAGGAAATCAGACAACCCATTTCAACTAAAAACAAACTGTTGGCGAAGAACAAGGGAAGATTGTTATTACTTAACTCCTCGCAAATATACATGTACAACTCTCCCTTTCAGTGTGGAAATGCACCAGTCAGAATTAAAGTTTTGTTGATTATGGAGTAACATACGCCATTCAGGCGGAGCGCGGTGGCTCAAGCCTGTAATCCCAGCACTTTGGGAGGCCAAGGCGGGTGGATCACGAGGTCAAGAGATCGAGACCATCCTGGTCAACATGGTGAAACCCCGTCTCTACTAAAAATACAAAAAATTAGCTGGGCACGGTGGTGCGTGCCTGTAATCCCAGCTGCTCAGGAGGCTGAGGCAGGAGAATTGCCTGAACCCAGGAGGCGGAGGTTGCGGTGAGCGGAGATTGCGCCATTGCATTCCAGCCTGGGTAACAAGAGCGAAACTCCATCTCAAAAACAAAACAAAACAAAAAACAACAACAAAAAAACATAATGCCATTCAATAAGATAATTTGACTGGAGCTTTTGGGGTATTTTATTTTGAAAATGTGATACTCTGGTAGCATGGTTGTTTGGAAAGACAGGTAGGACAGATAGTCGAGACAGACTTGGCTCAAGGAAATGCACCTATCCTCCTATTACCATTCTTGTGCCTCTGTCACTTCTCAAAGGGCAGGGTTTAATCGTTTCAGTCTAAACTGCTTTGTCCAGTGGGTAGCACAAGTCTCTCAGAGGAAGCACTTAATTTCTAAAAAATGGTGACAAGAGTGGATATTCTTAGAAATCTATTGATTTAAAATGCTTCCCAGTCTCTGTCCAATCCTGTCAAAGCCCTTATAAATTTAACATGCTGCTTTTAAACAACTGATTCAAACCCAAATACTTGAGGGTTAGATATCCTATTTAGAACATGCATTCTGCTGTTTGTTCAGCAAGTAAGAGTCTTGATGCCAGTTGATCTTGCATCGTTTTGAGAATATGCGGGTAAACAGAAGAGCTGATGAATTCTGACAACCTAAAGTGGTGATTCTCAAACTCTGAACTGGTTATCTGGGTGCTTACTAAAATGCAAATTCTTTCAATATAACCCGTAGGTAAAGAAATAAAAAATGCAAATTCTTAGGTAATCGATTTGCCACAGAGATTCGGAGTTAGTTTTTTTTATCTTTTTAGCAACTGATAAGGTGGTTGAGGGACTGTTTTTATCAAACATTGATGTAAGCTTTTTTTTTTTTTTTAATTTCCTACCCTGTTAACTGATGATGTAAGTTTTTTTGAAGGAATAAAATGATTCAGTAAAATTCAAACTTTACATATTGGATCTGGCTCTCACTTCTTTATGTGAATCAAATTGGGGCAATTATTAACAATATCTTCTTAATTGGCAGGAAAATGACTTTTTTAAAAAGTGAGTAGACTTTCAAAAAAAAGTTTTTGGCTTACAGAGAAATTGAGCAGAAAGTATAGAGAGTGTCCACAGACCCTTCCTAGCCCCTCACCCTCACTTGCTGCTATTATTAACATATTGCATTAATATGGTACATTTCTTATAACTGAAGAGCCGATATGGAAAGCAACTTTTGAAATGACATGGCAAGGTTGCCCAATATATCACTGGCTGGGCTGATGCTGGGAACAAAGTCACACCCACACACTCACTTGAACAATCTTCCTGGTAATTTCTCTGGTAGAGATGCTGTGTGCAGATCAATACCATAATGACTGTAATTGTTCTGCCCCAGTATCTGAACGCCAGTGGTTGCAGGACCCATTTGACTAAGCACTTTGGTTAGTGCCTGGGATTGCTGGATTTATCCTGACTCCAGCTTCACTTTCCTCGCAACCTTGGACACAAGCTCGAATGGCTCAGAGCCTTAAGTGTGTAAACCTGTGAAACAGAACAGCAGCATTGCACAATATCAACTAATTTACACCTTGACTCTTTCTAAAGAGAAGTGAGGTGGGAGCAATATTAATGCTGAAGAACTGCACTGGGATAAGTTACAAACATGCTTGACTTTCCCCATAAGGATTACAGAAGGATATTTCATTCATTCATTCACTAACTCATGCTGTGAGACAGCCTGGGGATACGCAATTTAAAGCATGATCCTTCCTGCAAGGAGTCACTGTTCTCCCAATTGTGGATAGGAAGGACACACGCAAAAAAGACCCTTATAACATGATATAGTTTCCCCAACAGTCTTAGGAATAAATCCTAGAGTGGGTATCTAGCCCAGTGGTAAGGGGGAGCTTGGGTGGGGTGTGTGAAATAGCATCTTTGGGAAGATGTGACTTTCTGAGCTGAGTTTGAAAAGTTGACTAGTAGTTGGCAAATTCTCTGGAGAGAGCGTCTCAAATCTTTTGTGGTGAAGAACCAGCCATTTTTGTTCCCAAGTCGGCCAGGTACCAATACACTGAGGCGCCAGGTGTGACTCACCACGTGAGTCCGACAACACCCAAACTGGTTTATACTTGGTTCAAAGAGTCCACCGATCATGTGCTTGGATGTCGTGGCATTGTTAAATTGCTACAAAA